ATTACTGAAATTAAAAAGTCAACTCTAAGGAAGCCATCACTTATATTACAGATTTGAAATTCTAGAGACCCCAAAGTACATGCCAACATGGGATAATACAAATATCTTTTGCCTCAAAATACCCTTCCCTTCCGCAGAACTTATGTTGATAGAGTGAGTCCACGTGCCTTCTAGAACTAAACTATGAGCTTTAAATGTACATCACATTTCATCTTTACAATATCCCTAATGAAGTATATCCTCATTTTACAAATGAGGAAACTAATGATCAGAAAGGTTATATGGCATACCCTGAGTCAAAAGCTAGCAAGTGACAGACCGAGATGTGACCTCGGAAACCCATTTCTGGAGCACTTCCCCTTGGCCACCACTCTCTAATAGCTCCTCAAAGTAAGGACTACTTCTTTACACCAGAATACATCTTTCCTCGAAGAAATTTCTAAAAACACTATTTTTAAATAATGAACTAAGCATATTTGTACTTTTATGAAAGGCATTTATTTCCTGGTTTGAACATTTTTACATGACCTTGCACAATAGGAACTGAATGTAGTTTGAGTTCCTTAATCAAACTACTGCAAACACCAAATTACTACAAAATTTAATTTAACATGATTAGCTTATGTCACAGATACCCGGGGATCAGAACTATACTCTGACACCAGTTAGGAAAAGAGCCCAAAATATAAAAAAGCAAGTTAAAAATGTTAATATCATATGTTGTCAAAGTAATAAAATGAACCAAAGTAATCATGTGTTAGAGCTAGACTGAAACTTGGAAGTCACCCAGTTCAAATACCGTTTTAAATGCCAGAAGCTCTCAGTTAAACAGATTTGCTCCAGGCCCCACAGAGAGCTATGCATCATTCAACCAACCAATCCACCATGAACCACGGGGCTCGCACTGCAACAAGAGGACGCTCCGGACACCCCAGGCCTGTTAACAGCCCTGGCCCTGGCCCGCCTTCCCTTGCTTCCTCACCTGATATTTTCGATTTGTACTTTCTGTCCCAAGATTACCCCACAAGCCTTGACCACTGACTGACTGGGCTGCTCTGGTTTCCCCTGAGAACTCTCTCTGGGTTAGAATTTCACATAAGCCTCAGCTTTCAGCTGCCTGAGTGCCCAGGATAACAACTGCAGATGTCAAGCCCCACCCCAGGCACCCATCCCTGGCTGGTATCAAGCTCTCATGCTGGCTTCTTTGCTGGGTATGTTGTAGGTTTTGATGAGCAGATCAGTTTTGCCAGAGGATTTGAAATAATTTACAGTAGGCTAATAAGCATTGGTTATCAATGTCTATTAAACCAGCAGCTTTACTGTCCTTGTCTCTCACCTTCCAGACTCCCAGTATCATGCAGGACCAGGCAACTGGTTTTGTGTAGGTCCTGTACCTAGCAGTGTTGCCAGCCACCAAAACAGAGCACATAAGTTGAAGGCACTGAGAAACTTCATGCATAAGAAAAATTCACTTAATGCTATAGAAAACGGAGCACTAAGCAGAACAGTTCACAATCTCTTGTATATCCGTGCACTCCAACAAGGTACCGCGAGGTACCAGCATTCTTAGAATTTAAGAAATGTGCTCAATTGCTAGATTAAGAAAATAACAGAAACAGCTTTTTCCTCCTAAAAAACCTATCTTGTCACAAGTACAAAGAGTGGTTTATAACATGTTTTTTCTACTAAAATAGAAACTCATCGTCTCAAATTTCTTTAACACAAATTTGACTTTAAAGTACAGCCGTTCATTGAGTATCTAAATAGGGGGACCTCACTGTGTGTGAGGAGCTGCAGGAGATGCAAGGGATACAGAAATCTAAGGCAAAGCCTCCGATGGGGAGGATTCTCAGCATCCGAGAAAATCAAGTGCATAAAAAAAGAACTATAGTCCTACATGATGGGTGGCCCCAAGGAAAGTTATATGAGATGCTAGAGGAGTAATAAGATGGACAGACTAACAATAATTCGCAGGACTGGAAAAGACCTTGAAGAGTGGAGAACATTGACTCAAAAGACCCAGTAACATTCATTAGCAAAGTGGAAAATTATACACGTGCTTTACTTTTCCATCGTGATGTCATTCATGCATGTTAAGCTGAAAAATAAACAAAAATTAACCTCAGAAGAAAAAATAATGATTGCAGTAGCAGCTATCATTTATTGAACATTTATTATATACTTATACTACAACTGTATTATCTTACTGAGTCCTCATGAAAATCCTCTGAAGTAGGTACAATTATCATCCTCATTACAGAGAAGAAGAAAGTGAGGCCCAGAAGTGTGAGGTATTCATCAACAGTCACACAGAGGAAGTGGCAGTGCCAGAATTTGAACCTGGGACTACCTGACTCCACTCTTAACCTCTGTATAATAATGTACTGTGGCTGGAATATTGTGATGACTCAATTAGATAACAGGTGAAAAGTACTCAATGTTGTATCTGGCATCTAGGAACTTCTTGACATGATTATTATAGTGATAAGATTGTGTAAAAGCTTGCTTTTCCAAATATATAAAGAATTCACAGTACCCAGATTCTCTATGGTTAAGCAATACACCAAGATCAGGCCATATATTATCTACATTATGTATCTGTCGTCACTAGCAAAAGCAAATAAAAAAGATAAATTCCAAAGTTGGCAGGAGCTGTAAAAAAATAATTACATTTACAGAAAATACCTTATCAATAGAGTAAAAAGAAATATACATGGAACCTGGCATTATTTTCAATTTCAGGATATAGGCCTTGCTTTCTGATTACTTACAGCAACACTATTTACAAAATAGTGAAAACTTGGTAACCTTCTCAAATGTCCAACAATAAGGAAATGATTAAGAACTATGACAATTAATAAGGTAGAATTCTCTGTAGTCATTAAGAATTCTGAGACTGACATTTCAATGTGGAAGTATAAGATGAAATTACATTCTAACTAGAAACGACTGACAAAGAACACAAATGAATTTAGAGTGAGTCATTCAAGATGAAGAGGTCTTAAGGTTATTTTTTCATTTTTATGTTTCAGTCTATAATAAAAAAAGACAAAAGTATGCCTCACACTGAAGGGAGATGCCAGCTTTAAATGCTGACGCTTTCTCCTCTGCAGATTTTCTATTCATGTGTACCACACAATGCGATCAGTCTTTCTAAAATGTGGCCTGATGAACAGAACACTACATTAACTGAAGCTGCATGAGGCCACTATACTGTCTCCTTATGCCCATTTAAGTTATAAAAAGAACTATTCTTAATTTCTCTGGCTCAAGATATCTGGCATTAAAATCCTAGCAAACTTATCAACTATTCTCCCTCAGCCCCACCCACCTGTGGAAGAACAGAACCTTTCTTCTTTATAAAAAAAAAAAAAAAAAATCAACAGAAGATAAGTGAAACGAGCTCAACATTTTTTCTAATCATTGGAATTCTTAACTATTGGGCACATAAAAATACTAAAAATTTATCATACTGACTACCTGAACCATGATATGAAAAGCCCCAAAACATTTCTTTTCAGTGCAAATAAAACCCACTTCCTGATTTAGGATAAAGATCTAAATTACGGATATCCCTCAAAACAGCAAAAATGGTCTAGAAAGTAAAACAATTATATAAGTTCTATTAAGTAAGAAATTATCTAGATGTCTTCAAGCCTTCTGTCAGCTCGAATAGTCTAAAATTCACACCCCTCCAGCTCCAAAGTCCACTGCTGTCTTTTAGCTGAGTGTGATTCTAAATGTAGCTGCAATGAGATACACTAATGCCTGTTTCCCACATCTCCTCAGGGCAAAGCCAGCAGCCTCCAAAACCAGTGAGCAGGAAGGTTCCCCACTTTGTAAGCCCTCCAAGTTATCAGGGATAGCAAAGATTGGTGAATCCATGGTCACTTTCATATGGAAGAGGATAGCCATGTAAAAATAAAAGGACATCTTGTCTTAAGACAAAATAAAGCCCACGAAGCATATACACAGAAGTGAACTCTGAGCACTAAAATGTTTAATTTCAAAATATGCCACTGTTCACACTTGAGTGTGAGAAAAGACGGCAGAAGAGATCTCTTAACGCCTGTTGGTTCCAACATC